CAGGAGGATCGCTTGAGCCCAGGAGTTTGAGGTTGCTGTGAGCTAGGCTGACGCCACAGCACTCACTCTAGCCTGGGCAACAAAGCGAGACTCTGTCTCAAAAAAAAAAAAAAAAATAACTCCTTTGGATTTAAAGTTTGTCTTCTGTTAAAATGTAACTCTCCACCTCACCCTGGAATAGTCAGTCCATCACACTTTAGTGTGAATTAATGCACTGGACAGGACAAGGGACAGATGGTTTCTGGGACAAAGCAGACAATAGCACAGATAAGGCCCGCAGCTGACAGAGGAAGCCGGTGGGTCCTGGTTTGCTGGGAACTGGCAGTGCTGCCAAGCTAGGGGGTTGGGCCCAGGAAGGAGAGCGGAGGGCAGGTGCACCCCCTCCACCGAGCTGCTCCGAGCTGGGGTGGCCGGACTTGCTAGAGATGGCCCGGCATGGACAGCAGAGGCGTGTGAGGGGTGTCAAGTGCGTCGGGTTTGAATTTGGAAGCCAGTGGCACCAAAGCGATTGTGACCTGCTGCAGTCTGTCCGCGTCCGCCCGGTCTCCTCACCTCCAGGCCCAGCGCCTTCCCTCCCGCCTTTCTGTTCTGGAGGGTGTGTGTGCGTCTTGCAGAGCAGGGGGCCACTCCGGGCACGGTGCCTGCTTGCTGGGGGCGGGGGTGACGGCTGTCTGGGCGCCCCGTCTAAGGACAAGGAAGCTGAGGCTGGCGCCCGGTCAAGGCCCTCCTGGAGGCCGTGGACAGCAGTGTGTTGCCTTTCCACCCCCGGAGCTTTCCCAACAACCATTGCAAGCAACCAGTTGTGTTTACCAAAGAAGCCTCTTCCTTCCCCATTTCTTGTTAATGAGAGACACAGGCTCTCATGGGCAGGAGGATCTGTTCTCTCCTGAGACAGAGGGATGCCAGCCTGAGCCAAGTCTCGCTGGGCGGGACTTTTTCTATCACAGTTGCAAAAACACATTTGGAATCAGCTTTAACGTGAAGATGTATTTGATAACTTGTGAAGCATAAAGCTCCCCAGCTGGCTTCAGGCAGGGCTGGATCCAGGTGCTCAGACAACAGCATTGGCTGTCTCTTTCCAGCTCTTGGCTCAGCTCTCCTGTGCTGGCTGCACCAGGTGGGCTCCCTCCACAGCTGGTCTCTGTGAGGACAGCCCTGGGGGCTGCCAGGCCAGCAACCACAGCTGGGAAGGGGCCCTCCTCCCCAGGGCGCCCGCCAAGGTCCCAGGACTGCTGCTTGCTGGCCGGGCTGCGCTGCCACTTCAGACCGGGTGGTGATTCCAACCGGCCAGCCCTGGGGCCCACACGCAGCCTGGGGCCAGGGCTGCGTTGGAGCGGTTCCCAGAGAGCTGCGCCGCCTGGGCGAGTGCCGAGGGGTCGGCTCCGCAGGGGGAGAGAAGGTGGCCCGGAGCCGAGGGAGCTGGGAAAACGGCCACGGAGGGACACCACCCAACTTAGCTTTTCATTAGCTGTGCTGCATTTGGCCAGGTCTCTTAACCTCTCTCGCCTCAGTTTCCCCACCTGACATGCACGTAACAGCACTGCCGTGTTCGAGGACTAGATGAGCTTAGCTAAGAAAAGGGCTCGGGGTGGGGCCTGGGGCGCAGCAAGTGCTGTCACCAGGCAGCCGTCCTCACTGTGGTCTGAGCGCCCTGCTGGGGGCCCCGGCCTCCTCCCTGCCCTGCCCGCTGCAGCCCTCGGGGCCCCTCCACCCCCAGGTGAGCCTGTGTGTCCTCAGAGGGGAGACTCGAGCCCCTCTGGAGCTTGACCCTTGACCCTGACCCCTGGTCTAGGGTGGCCCGTCCCCCAATGTCCCCCCAAGGCCCAGGGAGGGGTCTGGGCTCCTGAGGTGCCGGCAAGGGAGGGGCTGTTGGTCCCCGGGGTCGCACAGCACAGACGGCCTGCAGTCCCTGCTCAGCCCCACCCCAGGGGACAGGAAGCAGAGGGGGTGGGGAGAGCGACCCCCAGCCTCCCCCGCTGCCACCTTGCAGCCCTGCCTGCGGGGAGCTGGACGGCGCTTAATGACAGGTTAGCTGCTGTCCGCAGGAGCAGGTGCGGTGCCGCCAACAATGGGGCAATTTCGGTAATGACGGGGAGGCCTGCAGTGAGGAGCCGCTTCCTGCCCACGCAGCGAAGGCACTGCCGAGCTGAGCTGCGGTCAGGCCCAGAGCTGGAGCCAACCGTGCCTGGGGCCCTGGCAGAGGCCGCCTCAGTGACAGCACCCAGCGCCCCTCTGGGGTGGCCGAGCCTGTTCTGAGGAGGCGGCCCAGGCCAGGCCCCCCACCTGGCCCCTCAGGCTGCAGGGACAGGACAGGGAAGGGCCGGCCCCTCAGGGTGCCTGGACTCAGCCCCAGCCTAATGCAGACCTGCCCTTTAGGCCGGGACGTTCCCCGCCCCCGCCTCAGTTTCCTCTCTAGGCATACTTGCTGCCTGGGCAATTGGGACTTGGGGCTCTGCAGCCCACCCTGCCTGCTCCACCATCCTCTGCCCCCCCAATTCCTGCCCCCCAACTTCCCAGCCCCCGTGACCAGCACAACAGAGCACACAGTGGCGCTCAATCGCGGCTTCCTGCGAGCATCAGCAGAGCTGAGGTCTGGTTCTGAGGCTCCCAGCGTCCTTCCAGCTGCCCCACTCTGCTCTCCGCCGGGGGCCACCCTGCCAGCTCCGCGCAGAGGTGGCGAGGCTGGGCCCTGTCCCGGGAGAGCACCATGTGCCGGGAGACCCGCTTCCCGTGGCGCCAGACGCAGCAGGGGCTCGGGACCGCGGATGCTCGATGGGGAGAGCGGTGGGAGGCGCCAGTCTCGCCCGCCTCACGTCTGCAGAAAGGACAGGACAGGCACCCCAGGGGACGGGGCGCGCAGCTGGGCCGGCACCAGGACGAGCCCCGTGCACGTTGGTGGGAGGTTCTTCACACCCGAAGCCCAGCCGTGAGTGCCGGCGGCAGGGGATGGGGGCACAGCGGCCATGGCCAGGCAGCCGTGTGGCCCCACACCTCAGGGCTCCGGAAGCCTTGCCTGGGGGACCCCAGCCATCCCTGTCATGACCCCGTCCCCCCAGTAACGTGACCTTTTGCAGAAGGATGGAGGCGGGTTTGCCTGCTGGAGTCCCTGAGAGCTCAGGGTCTTTAGCCCCGGCTGGGAGGGCCCCTCACCCGGTGTGAGCCCAGAGTCTGTCCCTGGGGCACCCCCAGAGCCAGCAGCGGGCAAGAGCCGAGGCTGCACTCGAACGGCCAGTGCCCACCCCAGGGCCTGGCCAGGAGCCCCAGGAACCCCTGCCGGGTGGCCAGGCCGCCCACGCGCACGCAGGGCAGCACCCTGTGTCCTCGGCACGGCCACCGTCCGGGTGCAGTGGCTGGCTGGCCGTGGGCTGCCCCGTGCCGGTCCCGGCGCAGCCTGGCACCCAGTAGGTGCCGGCAAGCGAGGCGGCCGGGTGGGCAGCTGCCAGCGCGGCCTTGTCTCTTAGCCTCGGCTCGAGGAGAAAGGCCCCCGCGTGTTTGTTTGCTGCAGACGTGGGCCCAATAGACTCCGTGTCTTTCTCCTCTCCTCCTCCATCCCGCATAGGAGCTCCAGGGAGCGGCAGTTTCCAGAGATTGAAGGCAAAATTGCTTGAAAGCCTGTGCTTTTATCCTCCAATTTGTAGCCATTTAGCTGGGCCGGGTGGAGGGGCAGCCAAGGCTCCGCTGGGCTCTTGGCGAGGAAGCGCCCATGGCTGCAGAGACGGTGCCTTGTCCTTCCCCAGGCAGCTCCGGGCTGCAGGACCCACACCCACTGGGGGGCCGGGCTGGGGGTGCAGGGTCTCATGGGGGCCAGTGTCTGGCCTGCCGGAGGAGCCACGGGGCCCCCAGAGACAGGAGGGGCTCAGCCCTAAGGTGACACCTGCCACCGCTGCTCCAGCCCTGCTGGGAACGGCGCCCAGCCCTGCGCACACCTGGGCTGGGACAGGATTAATGCTGGAAGGCCACGTGTCCCCACACCCACCTCCCTCTGGTCTCTAAGGAGGGGCCCTGTGCCTTCTGCTCATCAAGAGGGTCCTGCCTCAATCCCGGGGCCCTTGGGCGTCTGGGGGAGTGAGAGCAGGGGCAGGTGGAGCTTTGGATTCTGGGGGAAGTTTTCTGGGAAGTTTGGAAAACAAAAGCGCAGCCACAGCGGTGAGGTGCGAGGAAAGGCCTGGAGACCAAGGGGTTTCAGCGATAGTCTCACCCCTGCGGCGTAGGGGGCAGAGCTGCCGGGGCGGGGTGCTTGTGTGCGGGCCACGGCCCCTCGTCCAGGAGGAACTGGCGCCTGGCCACAAGCGTGGCCAGAGTCCTGCAAGCACGGCAGCACCCTTGGGCGGGAGCCAGGGTAGGAGCGAGAAGAGCCCTCCAGGCGCCCCGCCCCCCAAGTTTCCAAGTGGCCTCTGAGCACCTGGGTGGAGGCAGGCATCTGCCTCCCCCTCCGCAGGCCGTCCCCCCCCACCAGTGGCGCTGCCCTTAGGACTGAGGGCTCACGGCTCGCTGAGGAGGGCACCGTCCGCCCCTTCCTCCCTCCTCCCCATCTCGCACCCTCGCCCCCACCTCCAGGCCTTGCCCAGGCTGGCCTCCCCACCAAAGGCAAGACCGTCCAGCCCCAGGGGCGTGCCCCGCAGTCTGCCACCCTGCGCCCCTGCCCCCGCACACATGGGCCGGCCCAGATCCCAGGCCTGAGTCTTGCCAGTGTGCAGCCGGCCTCCCGGGCTCCTGGCAGAGGCAGACGAGCACCCCGTCCTGCATCGGGGCAGGGCTGTGCGTCTGTACCAGGCTGGAGGGGACCCCCATCCCCCAGCAGGATGGCAGGTGGCATCTCCTCACCCTCGGGGTCTTGAGAGCTTTGGGGTCCCGCGAGTCCCTTCTGGGATCAAGCCCTGCTGGGGCAGGTTGACTCTGAGGACGCCGAGGCCAGTGCCTCTCACCTGCTGCTGGGAGGTCCCCTGCCCCCCTGGGGTCCCAGACAGAAGCACAGGGGCTCTGACCCCCCAACAAGGTCCTCAGGAATCAGCACCAATAAAAAAATACACTTTATTGTGACCTCGGGGTTTGCAGGGTGCGTAGCGGGCACGTGGCGTGGCGCATGCAGGGTGCCTGGCTCGGGTGCACAGAACACGGAAGTGGCCCCTCTCTGGTGCCCCCCAGGCCTGCTCTCCTGCGGACGCTCTGCCAGCCTCAGGACCCTGAGGGCACGGCCGGTCCCCTCCTACCCAGTAATCCCCAGGAAGTCTGGTTGAGCAAATGGAAAGGCTGGGGCAGGCTCTGGCCGAGGAAGGTCAGGCTCTGGCGGCTCTCGACCACCAGGGCCCCGCGCCCAGGCCGGGGGCGGAGCGGGCAGCAGCAGCTGGTGCAGCTCAGCCGGAAGCGCGGCAGAGGGAGGAGGGCGTGGGAGCCCACACCTGCCAATCCAGCCCTGAGCTCCTCAGCGATTCTGTCTCTCTTGATTAAACATCCAAGGAACATCAAGTTCACAGACGTGTTTTCTTCTTCATCCTCCTGGAAACACTCAGAATGGAACCGCGGAGAGCGGCTTCGAGGGTCCCGGGCCACTTGACACTGGGTGGCACAGAGAGCCGGAGGGGAGGGGGACGGAGGAGCCAGGCCCCGGGCTTCAGCGAGAGACAGGCAGCAGCAAGGGCGGCGTCCGGGCTTGTCTGGGGAGGCCAGTGTGTGGGTGAGCACGGGTGTGTGTGCGTGCAGGAGGCGGGTGCACACCAGGCGTTGGTTTGGGAAGAGCGCTGTGTGAAGGGCAGACACCACTGGCCGTCGCACTGTCTGTGGGGTGGGTGGCGTGGCCGGGACCCCTGGACTTTCCTGCCTGGGGTGGGGCCAGGATGTGGGTGGCAGGGCCAGCCGCTCGCACGAGTGGAGCCAGTGATGGCCCCTCTGGCCAGCCCGACATGCTGCCTCCACGGCAGGGCAGGTGGCCCGAAAGAGGCTGCCATGGCACGGGGGGGGCTGCCCAGGACACCAGGGTGGAGGGTGGCGGCGGGGCTCACTTCCAGCAGTGCTCCAGGGAGCCGTGGGGCTGCAGCTTGAGCTTCTGCGGGCAGAGCAGCTTGGTGAAGGCTCGGCGGAAGCTGTGGTGGCACAGCGGGTAGAGCACGGGGTTGACGGCCGAGTTGGCCCACAGGAGCCAGAAGGACGTCTCGTACCAGTAGTCGGGGATGCAGTGGCCGTGGCAGGCCGCTCGGATGATCATCAGCAGCGTGTACGGGGCCCAGCAGAGCCCGAAGATGCCCACGATGACAGCCAGAGACTTGGCCACCTTCTTGTCCCGCGACAGCCGGAAGCGCTGGGTGAAGCTCTGCGTGAAGCTCTGCGACACCATCTTCATGCGCTTCTCCAGCGAGGCTGAGGACGCTGACGGCTTGGAGCCCCTCTTGAGCGAGCGCGGCCTCTCGGTGCCCCTCGAGGAGCTGCCGGAGCTGGAGGTGGGCGAGGCCGCGGCCCCCGCACCCCCGCCGCCCCCGGGGGCCGCCTCCCCGGCCTCGGCGCCAGCGCCCGCCTCGCCCACCCCGCACCTGTGCAGCGGCACGGCCTCCCCCTGCCCCTTCTGCCAGCAGCCCCAGCAGCCCGCGGGCGGCGGCGGTGAGGGCTGGGCCTCGGGCGGGGGCTCCGGGCCGGCCGCCTCGCGGGCCCCGTCCAGCCGGAGGCGGGTGCGCCGCTGGATGTTCAGGTAGATGCTGAGGTTGAAGAAGGTGACGCTGAGGAAGGGCGTGAAGAACTCCAGGGTGGAGGCGGTGATGAGGAAGTACCAGTTGTAGAAGAACTCGGCGTAGCAGTGGCCCTCGGGGATGGAGCTGCCCCCAGACAGGTACTCCCAGCTCAGGATGGCCGGCCCGTACAGCAGGAAGGCCAGCACCCACACCAGCAGCATCTTCTGCACCGCCCGCCGCGTGTCACCCTGCTGGGCCCGGTACGAGACCTGCGGGGGACAGGCTGGGTCAGCAGCAAGGCAGGAGGCGGGAATGTGGGACTGGGAGCTCCCGGCAGCCTCTGGGCCTCTAGGCGTGCCCTTCCCTGGGCAGCAATGCTCTTCCCTTCTCCTCCCCTTCCTCTCCTGCACCCTGCCCCGTGGCTGCCCCCCACCAGCTGGGTGATGCCCTGCCGCTTGCCTGGAGCCACAGAACCTCCCCCAGATCACCCGAATCCCAACGCTGTGCTGGGCTGCCTGTGCAGCACCCCTACAGCCATGTGCTCCCCGGGGGGCCTGTCCGGCCCCCGACCCCAGCAGAGGGCTCAGCCCTGGCCACAGCCCCGGTGCACGCACAGCTGTTTCTGGCAGTGTGCATCTTGCCAAGGCCTGAGCCACCTCCTGAGGCTCGTGCTCCAGGGGGGAGGCTCACTCTGGCCCCGTGCGGGTGCTCGCTCTCCTGGGAGCCGGAGGTGCAGGAATGAAGCCACCGGCTGGCCCATTGCTGGGAGAATCCCCTTCTGCCCCCAAGAACATGGCAACCCAGACCCACATCGGGACCTCCGGAGGAAGAACAGGAGTGAGCGTTCGGCTCAAGGCTGCAGACCCCAAGTGTGAGAGCAACCAGCTGGTGGCCAAAGGTCTCAGTGAGGGGCCTCAGGCAGGAGGACCATGAGGGCCACCCACTCCCCCGTCCTCCCCCACCAGCCAGATCAGGACGGGAGCAGTGATCGGAGCGACTGCGAGTCGGGTCTGTGGGCACCTGCCTGTGCGGGCTCTGCACGGCCCCTCATTCATCTTCACAGACCCATGCTCCTTGCCCTGTGCCTCCACCCTTCCGGGCTGGAAGAAAACATGTGCCCACCCTGGAGAAGGGCCTGACAAAGCCTGGGTGTGTGAGCCCTCAAGGAGGAGATGGGGGAGGAGGGACTCTGGTGGCAGCACCCCATACCCAGGTGGCAATGACACAGGGGACCTGGGCGGGGCCAGGTGGCCACTCACATGGAGGAAACATGGAGCCAGTAGCTGCTGCCCGTCTTCCTGGGGCGTGTGTGTGTGTGTGTGTGTGTGTGTGTGTGTGTGTGAGAGAGAGATGCTGCCAGGGGCCCCGGGGCCCAGATCCTTCCTCAAATCCAGGGACTTTGGATGTGTCCCAGGGCGGAGGCTGAAGGGACCCCTTCCTTCAGGATCATCCCATTCCACGTCCAGACTCCCTGCCCCGGCCTGGGCCCAGGCCAGTCCTGCTGGCAGCAAGTGCCCCTGCGTGGGAGCTGGCCACAGAGTGCCCGCGCGCCAGGGACCCAGCCCAGCAGCACCTGCCCGCAACTCAGAAGTGGCCCTCTCCTCCAGGTGCCTCCTCCCGTGGCCATCCCAGGACTCACCGCTCGGGTGACCGACAGGAAGCGGTCGTAGCTGATGAGCACTATGTTGAACACGGAGGAGGTGCACAGCAGGTAGTCCACCACCAGCCACAGCTTGCAGAGGCCCCGGCCGAAGGTCCAGCGGCCGGTCAGCACGTAGGGCACGTACAGCGGGATGCAGAAGGCACCTGAGGGAGAGCTGCTGTGGGCCACGCCCGGACCGGACTCAGGCCAGCCTGAGCTCGCGCCCCTTCCCCCGGGGACATCCCTCTCCAGCCCTGAGCTCCCCCGAAAGGAGGGCAGCACCTGGGGTCACATGTGGCCCCCTCTCTGGGACCCACCACCCTCATCCTCCCCACCTCCACCCTGCCTCCTGGCCACACGCTGCCCTGCTGCTGGCCTCCACCCCACGCAGCTCCCAGCCCCACTGGTGTCTCGGACTTGGGGGCAGGAGGGAGTGTCCAAGCACGGGGACCTCTGGGCACCGCAGGACTCAGAGTGCCAGGAGTCAGGACTCCTTGTACTTCTGCCCAGCCCTCAAAGAGAGGAAGGAGGGTAATTTCCCTGTCCCCAAGCGCCCCCCCCTGCTGCGGGACAGCCCTCCCTCGCTGGAGCTTAGAATCTGCTGGAGCTTAGAATCCGGAAGAGCCTTCCTCCTGGCTGACAGGGAACTTGGCGGCAGCCAGGCCAGCCGCTCCCACCGCCAACCCCCGCTTCAGGCGTCTGAGAGACGCACCTCACAGCCCCAACAGGTGTCTGGCGCTCTGCCCCTCCGCGTGCCCCGCCCCCCAGCCGGCAGCAGAGCGCGGACACGTGAGAGCGCGTTCCTCGGAGCTTCTCCCCCACCTCTCTCCTTCCCTACCGGCCCTTCCCCCAACGCAGCTCTAAAAACCCCCTCCATGTCCCTTCCCCCAAACCTTCCCCGAACCTTCCCCAAACCGCCCCCCAGCTGCCTCCCCGCGTCCTGAGACCGCAGCAGCCTTTGTTTAGCTGCGCGCAGGAGCCAGCGCTGCACCCGCGCTCGCTGCGCCTTGCGCCTCGCTGAGCGCCCGCAGGCTCGCGCCCCTTCCTCGGGGACATCCCTCTCCAGCCCCCGTCCCGCGGCCCAGGTGGCACGGAACTTCACCAGTGCCCACCGCCCCATGGGTTGCGGACGTCCCCTTCCCAGGCCGGCCCCCTGGCGGGGCGCATGCCTGCCAGAGCCACCCAGGTCCGCGCTCCAATCCCCGCTGGCCGGGCCGGGCTGGGCGCCCTTGGGCTCCAGCGGCGGGCGAGGGCTGGGGGCTTTACCCACGAGGAAGTCGGAGATGGCAAGGTTGAGCAGGAAGAAGTTGTTCTGGGTGCGGAGGCTCGAGTCGGCCACGAAGGCAAGCATGACCAACGCGTTGCCCAGCACCGTGGCCACGATGAGCAGCGCCATGAGCGCGGCCAGCACCGCGGTCCAGGCGGCAGAGAAGCCTCGCGCCCCACCCGCCGCCGCCGCCGCCGCCTCGCCCGCCAGTGCCCCGGACGCGTTCAGCGGCCCGTCGGGCGGCGAGCGCTCCATGGCCCCCCAGGCTCACGCGGCGCCGGGACTCGGGGCAGGGCGCAGGTCGAGAGCCAGGCGGCCGGGAGGGGCCCCGGCCCGAGAGCCTCGTCTTTGCGGGCTCTCGGCCCGGTGTGGTTCCCCGGGGTGCGCCCGGCGCATGGTCCGCGGGGCCGGGGCCGGGCGGGCTGTGCCGAGGGCGCCGGGACCGGATTCCAAGCCGAGTGGGGCCGGCGGCGCGGCAGCTGCAGCAGGAGACGAGCCGGAGCAGAGCTGGAGCCCGAGCCACCGCAGGCGCGACCGTGCACCCCAGCGCAGCGCGCAGCCGAGTGCGCCCCGCGCCCAGCCCGCCGCCCGCGCCCCGGCACGCCCCCGCATTGGCTGCCACCCTCGCCCCGCCCCGCCCGCCCCGCCCCGCCCCGCCGGCGCCGGCAGCACCACGGACAGCGCCGCGTGCCCGCCGGGCGGCTGGAGCCCAGCCCCTGTGCGCACCCGGGCGGGCGGCGGGCGGCGAGCCCAGCCGGGGCATGGCCGGGTCTGGGGGCTTGCCTGAGGTCAGCTGGCCGGCGCACTCGGGAGCTGGTGCCTGGGCTGCTCGGCCTCCCCGTGCCCTCGACCCTGGCGACCCCCGCCTGGCCCCTGTTGGAAGCCCGAGCGCCTGTGGGGATCTGGGGTGGGGCTGGGGTGAGGGGAAAGCCTGCGCCCACGCTCCAGGGAACTTGCCTGCGGGGCCCCTCCTCCTTTCATGCTTTGAGAACGTGCGTCCCGGGGGAAACTAAGGTCTGGAGGAGAAGGAATGGGGAGGGGGTCTCCAAGGGCGGGTGCCCAGGCCAGGGGTCCACTCCATCCCCTGTATGCATGGGACCCTGGGGCTCGGTCTCCCTGTGGGCAGGGCCGGGCGCAAGGTCCAGGGTGGCCTGCAAGGCGCAGACAGATGTGGAGTTACATAAGGGGAGACGAGGGGCCGGGGTGGACCCAGCCGAGAGGGGAGCGCCCACCCGGGGCTCAGGCCGCCCTGGCTGAGGGGTGAGCAGCTCCGAGCCCCGCCACGGACACCCCCGGTGGACAGCGCGGCGGGGCGGTCACTGCTGCAGCGGACAGACGAGGTCACTGCGCTCCGGGCGCAGCCAGGGCAGCGGCTGCGCTAGCACCTGCAGGAGGGGATGGGGGAGGAGAGACGGGGAGGCAGTGCCCCCCCCAGAGGCATGTGCTCAGATCCGCCTCAGGGTCACGGACGGATTCCGCCTGAGACGCGCACAGCAGACAGACAGACAGACAAGCCCACGCTCAGACACACAGACACCCAGGCTGGGGACATATCAGACAGCAGACAGGGAGGGGACAGTGCCAGGGGAGAGCCGCGCACTTCAGCGGGTGCCTCAAAGAGGACAGAAGCGCACGTGTCTGTGGGGGCGGGGTGGAGGTGGCGGGTGGGGGCGCCGCTGCAGGCAGGACCCCAGGTGCTGGCACACACGGGCACCCAACACGCACAGCAGCCTCCCGGTCACGTGGGGACCCGCCCCTCCCCTTGCCCCAAGTGGTGCTTCGGAAGCTCTGGGGAGCGCAGGGCTGGGCTCCCTCTTCTTCCCACCTGGGGCTGATTGCAAAGAGGAGCCCCCAGACCTGCGGCCCCAGCCGGCCCACCCACCGCAGGGCTTCTAGGCGGCTGCTCTGGGGGAGGGGTTTGGATTCCAGCTCTTCCTCTTCCCAGAAGCCCTCTCTGACCACCTGGCTGCATTCTCGCCCTCCGCCAGCAAACCATGCTCCTCCTGCGGCTCCCCCTTCCCCCCCTGCTTCCGCTCACCTCACCTCAGTGACCCCGGGGGCAGGGGCTGTGCCCGACGGCCCCTAGTGGTCAAGGTGGGACGTTCCTGGAGACAGGCAGCAAGGAGCTGCGGACCCCATCCAGCTGTCACCCCACCTTCCTGTGGCCTCTGTGGGGAGCCTGGCCCAGCCAGCAGCCCCCTGCTGAGCGGAGCCTCCCCCAGACCCTGCTCCTACCCAAGCCCCCTCCCCCCCCAGGCCGGCTCCCCAGGCAATGTCCCTGGGCCCCCCCCCCACAGAGGTCTCAGCAGGTGGTGTGGGGGGCTGGGGAGGGGATCAGCACTCACTCTCTCACTGGCTGGGGCCTTAGTGTCCCCAGCTTGGAATGGGGAACATAAGTTGGGACCCCAGGCAGGACCAAGGGTGAAGGGGCTCAGAGACCCGCCTAGCCGTCCTCCCTCCCCACCTCTCCTCACCTGTCACCCACAACTCTCCGGTGACGCCGGCAGAGGGAGCTTTCCTGGTGGTCTCTCCACCTGCAGCAGCTGGGGGACAGCCCAGGCCCCACCTGCCCACAGCTTTTCTGGGCAACTGCAGCCGATTGCCATGGTGACGGCGAGAGTCCCTCACACGTCGAGAGCACACGGTGCGTCCGGTGCTGGGACGCTGTGTCCTGCCCGTCTTCTCTTCTCGCTGCACCCTGACAGGAAGTCTGGGGGGGCCCAGGGTTCAGAGCCCACACTGGTCCCGGCTGCGGGACCTTGGGATGTCACTGAATGTCTCTGAGCCCAAGGGGCTGGTGGTGGCCCTGCAGGTGCACACCATGCAGGCCAGACTCCAGTGAGCACTCGTGTGTGAGACCTCGCCAGCCCTGCCCCAAAGGCGGGCGGGCCCGGTGAGCCACCTGCCTGGCGTCACACGAGGCCTGGAGCGACTCTCTCAATGGCCACCCTCCTGGCCCAGCCCCGAGGCCAGCAAGTGAGCCAGCATGACCAGCACCCATTCCCAGGGCCTTGGCCCTGCCTGGACAGGAGCCCGGTGTCCTCGGGGCTGGGGCCTGACTTGGGCAAGGCAGTGCAGGGGGGTGAGCCAGGTCTGCACGTGGCTGTCCACAAGACGTCTTGCCCTGGGGACTCTGTCCCCAGGAGTGGCTACCCCATTTGTGCACTGCATATGGAAAAAGAAAGTGGTGTAGGTGAGGTGGTCCATGGGTTCAGGGGCAGAGGCTGATGTCCTGGCAGGCTGGTGGGGGGCCTGCGAGGAAAAGGACAGGGCGTGGAGACAGGGAGCTCCGGGCCGTGCCGTGTGGACAGCCATGTGACCGTGGGCACAGCCTGCTGGGTTTTGGATCACACGTAAACGCCCACTGGAACGCATCTACCCCGAAGATGTGACATTCGCAAGCCTGTCATCGGCCACCCCGGAGCGGGTGTGATAGCACGAAGGCAGCGGCCACACGGGAGGCCCACGGACTCCCACCTCCCGGCCCAAGCGCAGCTGCTGCCCCGACCGCCTGGCTCCCAGCAGCAGCCCGACACCGCGCCCCCACTGGGTGCGGTCTTCCAGGAGAGCCACCGCAGGGGAGTGACCGCCGGCCCCTTCCGCGCTGGCCACAGGGCCGAGGACCTGCCCTCGTCTGCAGACCCCATGCCACAGTCCCGGGCCCCTGGTGTCCCGATCCACACGCGTGGGGTCCCACGTCGCAAAGCACACGTCCAGGACCCTCTGCCCAGCAAAGGAGGAGCGGGCGTGGTCCCGCGGCCACGGAGCTAACCCTGCCGTGTCACTGCCATGCCATCTGGGAGCCGCCAGCCTCACGGGGTGTGGGGACAGCCCTTCCAGAGGCACAGAGCTCGGGGGCAGTGGCCCTCGGGGACAAGCACCGCCCTGCAGGACGTGGATCAGGAAGCGGAGACCTTTACGTGGCACTGCGCCTGCCACAAGACCACGTGGCCAGGAGGCAGGACAGGGCGGGAGCCGCCCCCGTCCCCCCAGGGCCCCGCTGGGGACTTGGTGCTTTCGAAACGTCGCCTGTGCAGGGTCAGAGGTCGTGACTCCGAGGAGCACAGTCCCACCAGGGGGCACAGGAAGGGTCCCGCTGAACCCACGCCTCAGATATCTCCCAGGCACGTTGAGCTCCTCAGGCCTGGGGGCCAGCGGACACGGAGGGGGGTGACCGTTCGTCAGGGCCAGTGGCCCTGCAGGAGAAAGGGGACAGGGCCCTCTCAGGCAGCACCGTCCCCTGCCTGGCAACCCTGTGAGTGGACAGGAGCAGCCCGGGAAGGTGTAGCAGCCAGGGGCTCAGACCCCCGGATGACAGTCTCCCCCAGACCCGCAGAGGTGACAGCTGGGGTGGGGGTGGGAGTGGACAGTGGGGGTGTGCCCAGGACGGCCAGAGACCCGCTGCCCGTCCCTCGGTCTCTCCCAGGCGTCATCCCCACGAACCTCTGGCCCCCCCAACCCCGGCTTGGCATCGACTTCCTGGAGGGCCCACGCTGGCCAGGTCCCGATTTTGGAAGGGAGGCCATGGCGTCCCCGCTGGGCAGGAGAGTCCTGGGCAAAGGCTGAGAGGAGGGAGGGGAGGGAGGTGGTGTCTGGAGGGAACAGAGTTCCAGGCAGAGGGAACAGCAGGCTCAAAGGGCAAGAGGTGGGAGGTGTCTGGTATGTTCCCGGGACAGCGAGGGGGCCAGCGTGGCTGGGGCGCAGAGAGTGGGGGTGTGGGGGGACCTCTGAGCAGCAGGTCACATGGCACCTCGGGCTGATGTTCTCTCAGGTGAGACGGGAGCTCCCGGGGTGGGTGTGAGGGACATTTTAACAGGGTCCCCGGCCGTGGTGGGAGTGGTCTCCAGGAGGATGAGGGCAGGGGGGCAGAGGGGAGGCCTTTGCAAGAATCCTGGCAGGAGACGGTGGTGGCAGCGGGCGGCAGACCTGGCAAAGCCATCGTGTCAGGTTTAAGGGGGAGAGGGGTCCGGACAGGTGCCCAGTTTGGGCTCAAACACCTCAAAGGAGGCGTTGGTGGGAGTGAGACGGAGCAGGTCTGGGGGAACAGTGGGGTGCTCTGTTTGAGACCGCTGAGACGGAGTTGCGTGTCGGACATTGGAGTGAGCAGCCGGGGTCTGGGTGAAAGGAGCTCGGGCTGCAGCGGCCACGCTGGTGTCACCGGCGTCAGACTGCAGGGTGCCGTGCCGCCTGCCCGGCTGTCCTGGAGGCGGCTGTGGCTCCAGCGTCTCTCCGGGGCGGGTGGGGAAGCCCCTTCTCCCTGGAGCCAGGGGCTGCCCGGTGCTGTCGCTGCAGGACTCGGCCCCTGCTGTGCAGGGACGCAGCCGCTACTGAGAATGTCTGGCAGCAGGGCCCAGGGCCAGTGCAAGGTGACTGTCCCCGGCCATGGCCAAGGACTCGCCAGGGTCTGGGTCCAGCACCAGGCCACCTCTTCAAAGGAACCGTGATTTGCTTTGTCTTTCTGCCAGAGCTCATTTGAATATGGGAATGTAAATTTTTCTTTTTTTGTTCCATGTCTTTTTCTCCCCCTGGTGACATTCTGAGCCAGCTCTGGGTGCA